ACGATAACAATAACATAGACTGTCTGGTTAAAGATTATTGGAATAGTTGCAAGTTGAGTTTAATCTTTGAATGTCTACGTATATTTACTTATTTATTTACTTTGGAGACAAGGTCTCACCATTTTGCCCAGGCTGGACTCCAGTTCCTGGGCTCAAGCGATCCTCCCATCTCAGCCCCTCAAGTAGCTAGAGCATCAACATGCCCAGCTTGAAGATCTATTTAAATATCATTATGTTCTCCCAAGACTGACAGTCAGCTTTGGGGAGGGGGGTACTTTCCAGGAATGGGCTGCTACTGCATTAAAGTTGATCAGAGAAAGTTCAGAGTTTATTGAGAACAATAGCTCTGGCTTTGTTCAATTTCCTCTTTTACTAGTCCAGTGTGATGTTTTTCATGTGGTTGGAAATTCTTATTTCTTTTTCAGTTGACGTCCCTGTCTGCTTCCCCCACTGCCACACTTTGGAAGCTCTCTTCCTTGCCATCCACCGAGCGAGGTGCCTGAGCACAGTGTTTTCCCGAACCGTAGTCAATTTCGTGTCACACTCACAATCCTTGACAAACCCTATATCGTCTTCTACTCTTCCTTACATCATATTTTTCTTGAAATTGTTTTTTTTAAGAACTAAATGAATTTATTTTAAAATACACTTGATGTCAATGCCTCAAATAAAAAAAATGATTTTCCTTTGCCATAAAGTACTCATAAAATAAATACTATAAAAATAAAGTATTATTAGACTCTAGGTTGGTATCTCTGATTGCCAATGGCTCTGTGCCCAAGGCCCGATCTCTCTTCCTTGTAAAGAGAAATACGCAAGCATTGGAGCGCAGCTAAAGACAGACTAGCGATAAAATGAGGTTTTTTCCTTGTGTAATCAGAATGACTGAAATAAATTTGAGAAAGCATAACCTTCCCTTCTAAGTGAACCTACGTTACCTAAGGCAGTGTCCATGGATACGTAAAATCGTCTTGTGTGCCACCAGCGTGGTGGCCCTCAGGGCACCATCACAGACAGCTGGAGGCTTGTCAACATGCAGGTTGCTGATCAGTAGGTCTGGGCTGGGGCCTGAGAATATGCATTTCTACAGAGTTCCCGAGTCCTGCTGGTGCTGCTGATCTGGGGAACACATTTTGAGAACCGTTGCCCTAGTTGCATCAGCTCCCATTTTAGGAATAGCAGCACCAGGGAAGGTTGGAAGGTGCAAACCAGAAACAACTGCAGACCCCAAACAGGTGCAAGCCAACTCCTATCCGTTGTCCTTAATTTCCCTCACAAAGAGCAACAAGTCCAGGTCTGGTGCTAGCATCCCTGAGGGCGGTGTTGTACCTTCTAGAACCTCTCACTTCCTGATCTGAATTCCAATGTGTGGCCACCACGAGAGCTTTCTGACCTCAGTCAAACCTCCCCTGATCCTGCTTGGGGAATGGAGGAGGAAGTCAGTGAGAAGTCTAATTACTTCCTGGGGAAAGCCCCTTCTAAAACTTCTCCAAAAGTTTTATTCTGGAAGATTGATAATAAAATACAATTAAAATGCCCATAACATCTCTCAGGACGTGAAAGACATATTTTTTTACAGCTGACTAAACTCAGGGTGGGTAGATAAGCAACTATGAAATTTTACAAGCCAAGACTCGAAAAACCGAATGCCTGTTTCTTTTGAAGGCCAAGGTGTTTTGAAACGCCTCTCCCATGAAAACAAGTCTATATGTTGGCATTTGAACCTTTAAGTCATTTGCATTGTGAATGTGAGAAGAGGAAATCTCCATGAGGGTTCTCAACACATTCCTGCCGCCCAACAAACCAAACCATATTTGCTTGTCCATGTTTCCTTGTAGCATTTATCTTTATAAAGGCACATTGTTTTTACATAATTAGAGAGATGCCGAGAACCCTGCCCTTCCCACATGCTATCATGGTAGATCGTGCACTTTTCCTCATTGCGGTGCATGGTTTCAACATGATACTTTGTGTGATGCAGTCAGACCTCTCAGCAAGGCCAGTCATGAAATTTAATCTTCTGTTGTTGATTTTAATTTTTTATTCTATAAAATATGAGTTGTTTTTAATGTTTTACACTCTATGTAATACTGCAGCAAACATATTTATACATATAATTCTCCTTCATTTGAAAGTATTCCTTAGGATAAAGTCCCAGAAAGAAGTAAATTTCTCAGGCAAAGGGTAAGAACCTTTTTATGGCTCTTAATTATCTGTTGCCAAGTTGCATTTTGAAGCAATGGAGCATTGTGAGCATATTCAATTATTTGCCCCCTCATCAGAGTTGGATATTATCAATGTACACGTGTTTGAAAGTTGTAGAATATTATCTTATTTGTGTTTTAGCAGTAACATGTTTGTAAAATGAGTAAAAAGTTGAATATTTTCCCCATATATTTACTTACTAATTATATTTTCTCTTTAGTGAATAATATTATCATGACGGGCATGATCCTGGCTAGCCTTTTGTAAAGCGAACACAGTAGGTTGAAAAGGCCGTATAAAAATGGGAGAAAGGGAGAAAATATTTGCAAGACAAATATAAAGAACTCTTGCAACTTGAAAACAAGACGACCAACTCAATTTAAAAATGGGCAAATTATTTGAAAAAGTACTTTATAAGAGAAGAGATATGAGTGGCTAATAAGCACATGAAAAGATGCTCAACTTCATTTGTCATCAGGAGGTGCAAATTAAAACCAAAGTGAGATGCCACTACATGTCCTGTAGCCGGGGTCCCCAACCTTTTTGGCACCAGGGACCATCTTCATGGAAGACAATTTTTCCATGGAAGGAGGTGCAGCAGCAGGTGAAGGGGGGCCCAGTGGCAGGGGAGGATGGTTTTGGGATGATTCAAGTGCATTACATTTATTGTGCATGTTATTTCTATTATTATTACATTGTAATATAGAATGAAATAATTATACAACTCATCGTACGTTGGGAGCCCCTTCCCTACAGAATGGCTATACATTTAGAATGAAATGGGTGCATTATATGATATTTGTTTAACTTTTTCATAAATTGTCCAGTGGTTTTCCTAAGTTATACCATTTTAAGTTCACATCAGCAATATATATGAGTTCTAGTTGCTCCCTATCCTTGCCAACACTTAGTATTGTCAGTCTTCATAATATTGATAAACCATGGTACATCCATACAATGAAATACTGTTCAGAAATAAGAAGAAACAAATTATTAATGCACATAACATGGATGAATCTGAAAATGATTTTGCTCAGTAAAAGAAAGCAGGTCAAAAAGCAAAACAAAACAAAAACAGTACATCTGTTATGATTCCATTTATATAAAATTTTAGGCCGGGCGCTGTGGCTCACGCCTGTAATCCTAGCTCTTGGGAGGCCGAGGCGGGCGGATTGCTCAAGGTCAGGAGTTCAAAACCAGCCTGAGCAAGAGCGAGACCCCGTCTCTACTATAAATAGAAAGAAATCAATTGGCCAACTGATATATATATAAAAAAATTAGCCGGGCATGGTGGCACATGCCTGTAGTCCCAGCTACCAGGGAGGCTGAGGCAGAAGGATCGCTCGAGCCCAGGAGTTTGAGGTTGCTGTGAGCTAGGCTGACGCCACGGCACTCACTCTAGCCTGGGCAACAAAGCGAGACTCTGTCTCAAAAAAAAAAAAAAAAAAAATTTTAGGAAGTGCAAACTAATCTACAGTGATAGGAAGTGGGTCAGTTGTTGCCTGGGGCTGAGGTGGAGGGAGGGACCTCACCACAAATGGGCAAGAGGAAACTTCTAGGTGTGTCAGAACGTCCTGTATCTCAGTCCTAACAGAGGTTACAGGTGTATATACATCAAGTGAAGCTTGCTAGCTTGTACACTTTATATGGACACACTTTATTGATATAAATCATATCTCAATAGAGTTAGTTTGAAAAGAAAAGAGAAATAAATAAAAGCAGACCTTTGTTTAAATCCTGGTGCCAGGAGCCATTCAAGCTGAGAGTAACACAGCGCAACCTGATGGGCCTTAGAGCGTCTTTGCTCCAGAAAAATATTTAAATGGACCTCTCAGCTATCCAAGAACAAACCCCCACTCCTATTCTTGAACGGAGACGTTGGGACAATAAGAAGCTAATATGATGGGTAAAAATATTTTAAAAACTTCTCGTTTTCACTAAGGTCAGAGTTAAAACTCTGGCCATAACTTACCAGGTGTTATTGGCTTTATTCCTCTGCGTGGGCCTGGACTCAGGGAGGGTCGGAGCCCTGGACTTTAAGGAGGGAGGGCTGGATTAGGAAGACCCTTACAGGGGCATAAAGCTGGTTCCTGAAACATGGGGAGAGGAACAAGTGGGTGAGTAAGGGGACTGGGAGGTGGGGGGGGACATGGCCCATGACCAACCAGGGACGCAGGGGTCGGACTGTCTGCTTCAAATCTGTCCCTTTCCTGTGCTGTATTTTCCGCCCCCCTTGACTGCCCACCCCCACGCCCTCAGTGAAGCTAAGTTAAAGGCCACAATCTGACATTGACTGTGTTTGGGAGCATTACTGGGGCACTGTGTCCAGGCAGAGTGATATGTGGAGAGCCCCAGAAGCTTGGAGATGTGATCATGAAGTTGGTGGAAGTGACCATCTGAGAGGCCCAGAGTGGTGGTCTGTGACATAAGGTGACAAAGTCAAGCAACAGACAGTATGGGGAAGGCCGTCAGTACTCTTCGGAGATCCTCAGAGCCGCAGCTGGGGGAAGTGGGCTCCTGCACTCAGATGAAGTTGGGTAGAGCGCAGACTCTTATTGAGTGTTTAAAGGAAGGGGGACCTCCTAAAGGGAGGCAGCTTGGGCATGTCTGGGGTATCAAGAGATTAACCAAACTCACCCACCACCAACTCTACAAGGACATGTGGAATGCCCTAAGTTATTTTGGACTTTGAGTTAGAAAAATAATCCATATGGCCAGGTTCACCTCTTCTATCTCAAAATCCCAGAAGAGACCTATGGTACATGACCTAATCCTAACTACTAATTGCCTTTCGCTGCTTTGACGTCAAATAATGACTGGACTTTGTACCTGAAAGAGAGTTAAAACTAAAGGTAGCTGGGGAGAGAAATCATTTCCTCCTTGGATTACCAAGCAAGAACAGCCACAATGAAAGCCTTCATTCATCTCATTCTTCTCGCTCTCCTTTTTGTAAACTTGGGTAAGGAACATTTTAAATTTTAATTCTTCTAATCTTCTAAATGAAGTTTCCTCTCCAGCTCAGCCCAAAGACACTGGCTGTGTCTGACACTGTGATGGGGAAGGGAGAGCAGTAGCAGAAAGGGTCTATGGACTAAGACTTTGGGCCAGATAAGAACTTAGTAAGGCTGAGCACGGTGACTCATGCCTGTAATCCCAGCGCTGTGGAAGCCTGAGGAAGGAGGATTGCTTGAGGCCAGTCTGGGTACATAGTGAGACCCTGTCTCTACAAAAAATAAGAAATTAGCTGGCCTGGTGGGTGCACGCCTGTCATCCTAGCTATTCGGGAGGCTGAGGCAAGAGGATCGCTTGAGTCCAAGAGTTCAAGGCTCCTGTGAGGGGGAAGGTTGGGGAAGACTGTCCTCGTAGTAGCGGCAGGACTCAGCAGATCTTCTCTGCCCACTCTGGGGGCAGATGTCATGGCCATGCCTTCAGGACCAAGTAAGAACTAGTAAGGTTTGTATGACTTTCAGGACCTACTATCAGAAAAGGCTTGACTTCTGTAAAATAGAAGAAAAGAAGGGCTCTGGAAAGGGGAAGTTTGATTGGGAGGGATGGGGAGATGGATGGAGATCATGGCATGAGGAACCATTGAGTCTCAAGGTGACTTATGGGAGTGGAGAGGATGTTCCTTGGCCCAGAGAACCCAGGGGCAAGAAGCAAAGAGCTCTCTGAATACGGGGAGCAAAGCACGGGCTTTGTGGTGAGGCCACAAGGATTCAAATGGTGTGTCACCACTTACCAGCTGTGGGTGTCTCTGCCTTTCAGTTTCTCCCTAGGTAATAATAGAGGAAAATCCTCATACTAAAGAGTAACCAAGAAAGTGACATGAGACAAAGTGTGTGATGTTCAGGGAATCCTGCCTGGCATGTAGTAGGGGCTCAACAGCCAATTACCCTAGACACTTTTTTCTCATGTCTGCACTGGTATCCAATTTTCAAACTGCGGTTTTATTTTGTTCTTCTGCATTTAAAAAGTCATACAAGTAATGCAGACTCATTGTAACAAATTCAAATAATACAGATGTGTATGAAATAAAACGTGAGCATCTTGATCTTCCCTCCCCTCCACCAGTCCCCAACTTATCAACCACTCCCCCCTTCAGATATACTACTCTTGCCAGTTTGGTGGCTATTAAGGTTGGTGGTTGGGGAAAAAAATTTCTTTTTCTATGGAATGTTAAGGGTTTTACAGGTGTGTGTAAGGAATTACTATTTCAAAAATGAGTTCCACCTCAGATTCTTAGCAACCAAGGGCAGGATGTATCTTCTTGTAGACCTTAACATGTCCCCTCGACCCACCCCACTCCACCCCACTCCGCCCCCGCCAATGCCTTGCATAGCACATTGAGTGCAACGACCTTTGCAAAAGTAGTTACTGAAAAAAAAATCTTATAATATTGAAGCTCTTCCATCTGAAAGAAAGGCATTTTACTGTGACTTTCAGCTGGCTTTGAATAGAGCAGCTACAGATGTTCCCTGGACAGGAGTGTTAGTTATGCTTTAAGTGTAGAAGTCCACAACTGGGTGGTGACAGCGCCACCTTGTGGCATTCAGTTGTCTTCCCTGAGGACTCTCTCTAGCATATTAAACCCAGAATAACAGTTCTGCAACTACAGGCATAAATGACATCACTTTTTGGTATTCAACTTAATAAATATTAAGTCTTTATTTGTCATATTTTTCAATAACATTTTTCCATTTTTTTATGTTTAATTTTTAATTGCATTCATTGTGGGGGTTTTTTGTGTGTTTATAAGTAGTCATATATATTCATTTTTCCGGAAAAGAATGAGTTGGGTGCTATTTAGTATCAAGTAATAGTAACTTCCATTATTTATTCAATGTGCTGTCTTCTGAAACTTGTTATTTTTGTTCCTTCAGCCACAGGCCAAGACACAAGTACTGTCTTTTCAAGCACTGAACCTGCATCTAGTTCTCCAAGCACTGAACCTGCATCTAGTTCTCCAAGCACTGAACCTGCATCTAGTTCTCCAAGCACTGAACCTGCATCTAGTTCTACAATCAATACTGCCACAGCTACTGGAACTGGTTCCCCTGAAACTACCGTTATATCTTCTTCCCCTGTAACTGCTGTTGTAACTACTGCCTCTGCTCCCTCCCCAGCCAGTGCAGTCGGTCCCTCCATAACTCCTACACCCATTCCTGCAGAAAATGAGTCAACCACAGACAGCATGATCACCGCTTCATCTACAAATAGTATGTCAGTTGTCTCTCCTCTACCAACACAAAGTGGCAGTGAAACGAACACTACCACAAACAACAATTCCCTAGTGATTACTTCCAGGGACTCTCAATCACCAGTGATTTCCACCAGCACTTCAAATCCTGGTACCACAGGTAAGAGTGATTCCCTCAAACATGCCTCACTTTGAGGCAGGAAAATAACAATGTGGAGGAGGGTAAGTGAATATGTTCTGGTAGGGTAAGAGAGTGGGTATGAAGAGGCCCAAGGTCTCCTTGGATGGGAAGGGTAGATGTAAACTCTGAGTCACAAAGGCTAGGAGTGATGGCAGAGACCCTGAGATTACCCTCCATTCCATTCTGTTCTCTTTTCCTTCCCACCCTTCCTTCCTCAAGCTCTTTGCCAGATATGGAATATTTAATATGAACTTGGACTTTGTCAAAGCTACCTCTACAGGTTCCCTCTCCCTAGGGGATTTCTGGAAATAGTTTCAGCTTCTCTGAGAAGACTAGGTCCAAATAAGCACTGACTCTCCAGCCCCAGTGATCTTGCTCTCTGGGTCTTGCCTACCTAAGGAAAAAGTCAGCTCTACCCTGAGGTTAAGATGGTGGCTGATCACAATTTGGAATTTGAGCCGAAGTCATGGAACTTGAGCCTGAGAGATAAAAAGCCAAATAATGGCAGGGCTCAAAGAGTCCTAGGCATGGCCAGAACCATTATCCAAAGGACAGATGTTTGGGGGATACTATCTAGGAGATGCCAATTGATCTCAAGCAGAAATTATCAATACAGAAACCACTTGCTTCATTTCCCCAAGCTTGGTTTAGAACAAGGGTCGGCAAACTTTATCAATAAAGGCCAAATGCCTTTGTGGTCCACATAGGGTCTCTGTTGCACCTATTGCACCCTGTTATTTTACATGAAAGCAGCTATCATCAATATATAAATGAATGAACCTGGCTATGTTCCAATAAAATTTTATTTACAAAAACAGAAGGTTGGTCAGACATAACCTGTGACCCACAGTTTGCCAACCCCTGGTCTAGAAGGTTCCTCAAACTTTAGAGGCCGAGAGTCTAGATAAACCCTGTCACTCTCAGATGAGTAAACGGAAACCCCGTGAGGGAGGTGACTTGCCCAAAGTCAAAGAGCAAGTCGATGTCCCCATATACTTACTTCTGATAGCTTCCCGGTGTTCTTGGATAGACCTAAGAAACAGATGGTTAAGCAACTGGTGTTCAGAGCCTGCATCTAAGACTCAGGGCCCCAATCTTTCCTGTTTGGAAGGGCCACTCTGAAGGTGCATTCAAATGGGACACAGCTACACCATCAGCTCTACTGGAGTCAGGAAGGGGAGCTTTTCAAAGGCATTTCTGCTTCCTCGGACACTTCTCTCAGAGCCAGGCCTCTCGGAGCACTCTCTTGCGTGCTGGCCCTCCCACTCACTAACTGTGGGGCGGGAGGCAAGTCATTTCCCTCCTGGCTACAAGTAACTCCTTCGTAATAAGGTGTGACTGAACTAAATAGCCACCAAAACCCCTTTCAACTGTAACTCCCTGTGACTTATTCAATCCCTGGCCTCAGAACAAATGGACAAGTCTGCCCTGCGTTGCTGAAGAGAAAGCACACCAAGAGTTACTTGTCTGGGGTCTCCAGAGAGAAGCTACATTCAGTCTCTCCTCTCAGATTTTCCAAATCATCCTTGCAATGTGGCTGAGGCTGTTTTTTAAAAGCCATTTACTTTACTTAGCAGACTGGTTTGCACCAAGTCAGAGGCGTGACCCTTCATGTTTTTCTTCTTTTGTTTTGTTTTGCTTTGATTTTGGAGACAGGATCTCGCTCTGGCACACTGACCTGACTTTGAACTCCTGACCTGCCTCCAAAATTTCAGCAACAAACTCCCTGCAGACATAAGGAAGCATGTATTTACTTCTAGCTCTTCTAAGGGTGTGCTCTGGAGTTAACACAGCCAAGGAGTGGACATTGCCCAGGAGGGAGGCATGAAGATTGAAAAATAGATTTCTAGGTGTTGTTTGTTGTCATTTTTGTGGATTTCTAATTTCTTTCTACTCCATCTAAGGTACCAGGAGACCTTGCCAAGATAATCCCTGTGCAGGTGGCTCTGCATGTGTTGAGCTGCATGATAGCCATTTCTGCCTGTGTTTAGAAGGGTATTACTACCACTCTCCTGAGTGTTTGAAAGGTAAGTCACAAGGGATGAGTATGACACAGCTTTCTTTGTATCTCATACCAAAAGTGGAATAGAAAACTTAAAACGATGACAAAAAGAGATTTCAGAATACTATAAGTAGAAGAAAATATAGAGGCAACAAAGGCCAACAAAGTAGAGATAAGTGCTATTAGCAGCGGAAACTGAGGCAGAATAAGGTGATATGCCTGAGATCACACAGCCACCCAGGCCCGGGAGCCTGGGCTTCTGACTTTGGTTCAGTTCCCTGTCACAGGATCTGCTTGCTCCATAACAGCAAACCCCACTTTTAGAGACATAAGAGCCTCTTGGCTCTACAGATAGATCTTAGGAGCAAATTGAGACTGTCTTGGCATGATACTTTTTGATTAGATCACTGGGTGCAATGAAGGTTCAAGACCTGACCTTCTGTTATAATCTCTTTTCTGCTTTATGAATGAGAAATATTCCCCCTGCCAGAGCAGACCAATTGTACAAGAAACAAATGTATTTTATTGATAACAGGAGTTAGGGATATACAAAAAGCCCCCGAAGTGCTCATATTTTTAGTGCGAATAACCTCACTTCTGGGGATCTACTATAAGTAAATGACCCCAAATATAGAAGAAAGGTTTGTGCATGAAGGTGTTCACTGCAACATTTTTCTTTTCCTTTTAAAGAATTAAAAGTGCTAAGTCCAACAACAAAAAAATGACTATATCACTGAAGGAGACGTATACTTCCTAGAATATTATGCAGCCTTTAAAAATGATGGTTTTTAAAAGTTGGGCATGGTGGCACGCACCTGTAGTCCCAGCTACTTGGGAGGCTGAGGCAAGAGTATTGCTTGAGCCCAGGAGTTGAAGGATGTGGTACTCTATGATGACCCCTGGAATAGCCACCACATTCCAGCCTGGGTGACATAGTAAGACCTCGTCTCTAAAAAAGAAAAAATGATGGTTATAAAGAGTAGGCAATGATTTAGGAAAATGTCTATTATGCCATAATAAATAAAAAAAGAAACATGGCATAAATGTAGGATTATAACAATGTGAATAGAAAGAAAGAGCTGGAAGAAATATACCAAAACGAAGATGGTTGTGTTAGGAATGGAGAACACTTTTCACATTTCCAGATTTCTTGTAGTGTCATCATATAATGTTGAGAATTCTAAAAATTAATTTGTGTATTAGAACAAACCGGAATGACTCTCCTTGAGTAGTACAGAAAAGATTCTGCTTGACTTTCAGGAAAGACGTTCCCTGGGAAGATTTCAATGAAAGTATCAGATGCGCTTGGCTTGGAAGAAGAACATTCTCAGAACTATCAAGGCTTGCATACTGAAGTTGTTAACTTCGTAAGTACTTTCCAGCTTTCCTTCTGTGTGAGTATTCTTTGTTCTGACGCTGGCTGCGGAGCGTAGAGCTGGGCTTCCGGTGGTGCACGTCGGTACGGTCATACCAGTGCTCCGCATGCTGAAATGCACTCTTACTGGATGGTAAGCAGCAGCTGCCCTGAGCACCCCAGGTGAAGGAATTCAACTTATACCTTCTAAATCCAATAATTGCTTCTTTTTGAGACACAATCTCACTCTGTCACCCGGGCTAGAGTGTCTTGGCGTCAGCCTAGCTCACAGCAACCTCAAACTCCTGGGCTCGAGGGATCATCCTGCCTCAGCCTCCCAAGTAGCTAGGACTATAGGTGTGTGCTACTACACCTGGCTAATTTTTTCCTATTTTTAGTAGAGACAAGGTCTCGTTCTTGCTCTGGCTGGTCTCGAACCCCTGAGCTCAAGTGATCCTCCCGCCTTGGCCTCCCAGAGTGCTAGGATTACAGGCGTGAGCCACCGTGCCTGGCCCATATCCTTGTTATAAGGCTGATCTGGCTTACTAGGGCATCACATTTATTTGAATTTGACTAGACTTAGAGAGACATTTCTCTTTAATTTAAATTTAACATCTTTTTAATGCTATTGGTTGCCACAATCTTTTAAAATGTCAGTCCCAATGGACAGAAAAACAATAAAAAGTCATAGATTATGAAAAGGTTGTACCAACCCAGCTCAGCATTCTTATCTAATAAATGTGGAGATTGAGGCCCCAAAAGAGGAAGACACCTGTCCGGAGCCATGATCATATCTTTCACATTTAATTCACTCAGTCCTCAATTAACCAGTTTTGTTGAGTATTTCCTGGGGAGTGCCCTGTGCTAAGTGGTATGGCGTGGGGATGGGGGAATGGGATGGGGGGGTGGGGGGGAGATTGTGTCATAAGAATGAGAAACCCCTGTTCTTGGCGTCAAAGGACTTATGCTGTAATTGGGGCCTCCAACCCACCTCCACCTCAAACCTGCCAGAGGTCCCAGCTTTACCTCTGCCCACTCCCCTGTAGGAATCTAGAGTTGTCTCTGTTTTTAGAACACAACCACGGCCTAGTGAGATCCGCCTGTGCTGGAGAGCCTTCCCGCTCACAAAGCCATGGCTCATATACCCCGTCTCATTTTCTACACATGATAGCCCTACGTGGTGAGAGTTACTGCTATCTCAAGTTTTCCAATAGGAAAAGCAAAATTCAAAGAAATTAACTTACACAAAAGCTGACAAGTGGAAAAATTCGACTTTAGGTATTCTTCCCAATTCAGCCTGCCCCCTTCTGAGCCACACGGCCTCTGAACACTAGCATGTGCTGTTCCTTCTTCCACTCCCTGTCCTGGCACTGCCTACGGAAGTGCTTTACAGCCCATCTCCTGTGTGAAGCCCTCTCTCATTCTCTGCAACTGGAAGAGCATTCCTTTGAGCTTCCGTGGTAGCTCTTGTCTTTTTATGGCACTTCTCTCGCCTTCATGATATGGTTGCCCTGCTTGATCACAGGGCTGGGTCTGCCCGTCTCTGTCCTCTCCAAGTCCCATAGCATAACGCCTTGGGCAAGGTAGGTAATTAAATAAATGCTCCTCGGGTAAATTGATGAATGCATGAGACACACATATAAATAAGACCGACAAATTTGCAAGACTTAAGACAAACTTAATAAGTTAATCACCTTATTTTTAGGAATATGATAATTGATTTGGCTGAGTGATTTAGGTTTCCATCTTTTTTCTGGATAATTCTGACTTATATCAGACTCTTACTATTTTATAGCAAAGATTACTGAAAGGTGTTAGACTGGATGTTAAGAATAAATAATTTGTTGTGATGAACCATGTATATTTATATAAATGAATTTAGAAATTTATGTCAAAATTTGGATAGAGTATCACTTTTTAAAATTATTTTTTAACTTGTTGTTAAATCTGTTCTCCTCCACAGTTTAAGAATATATTTAACACATCTTATGGGCAGACTATAATTCTTAATGTAAGGTAAGTATGCTAAGGACCAATGGGGTCCTTTGGGGAGAGGTGTGCCTAACTTCTGGTCTTCTCTTGAGTTCCCCATGTTAACACTCAAGGCCCCTATGGCAAGTCACAAGTCAAGAAGGGGTGGTCAGGCTAAGCACTGCAGAAAGGACTGTGTGCCTTGGCCTTGTCTCTGATGTCACAACAACTCTGGCCTGGAGGGGCAAGGGTGGCCTGGGGAGGGCAAGATGTTGTCTGTGATTGGCTACTTAGCAACTTGTGCACATGTGCATTGTCTGGCTCAGCTTGTTTGGTTTTATCTACACCTCACCTTTAGCTACACCTCACCTAGTCAACCCCTGGAAAGTGCATTCCGGGAGGCCCAGAGATTGAACGGTTCACAGTCATCTCTTCCTATGAGGGGAGTGAAGGGAACGAGAACATCCAAATCACACCCTTGGCTACTGAAGGGCCAGTGGTGAGCTCTTTCTTTAGTAAGAACAAGCATTCATCAAGCACTTCAATATGTGATGACAAGTGCTGGGTGCTATTTAGGGACATAAAGAGGCAGAAGATTCTCGAGAAGTTAGAGATTCCATCTCAGCCTTCTCTGAAGCACCTTAACACACGAGTACTGAGGCTGGGGAAAGAATGCTCTAAGATGAATGGAGTTACGTAGCAAAAGCAGCCCTGATGTAGTCTTTGTGTTTTAAGTTTTACTATTATATGTATCCTTATAAGCTATGTCAAATCCTTTGTGGAATAAGATAAAGAATATATATGTAAAAAATATATAACACACACACACATATATACATGTTAAACATTTCACGAAAGGCCTCCTAAAGGTGGTGAGTGTTGAGCTTGGTCTTAAGTGAAGGGCGAGCCTGATGGCAGCCAAGAGGCAAGTTTGCCTGGTGAGGGGCAGGCAGCAAGCAGAGAGGCTGGGCCCCCACGCAGAGGCTCTGAAGCAGGAGGCCTACAGCTGCTGGAGTGCTGGGACCTGCTCCTGGGGATTAGGTTTGGCTTAGTGGACCACAGCCAGTTCATGTGTAGGGGGTGAAACAGGAACCGTGAGGTGGGGTGGAGTCAGCCACACCTGCACTTGAAGCCTGGCCTTGGCACCTACCTGCTGTGTGACCAGGCAGGAGTTCTAACTTCTCTGAGCCTTTGTTACCTCATCTGTGTAATTAGGATAATCTGATCAACTTCTCTGGTCCCTTGTAAGCAATAACTGAGATAAGCTTTGGAAGGTTCCTTGCACACAGTGCCTGGTACATAGTCAATTTCAACACCAATCTGTTCTCTTTCTGGAACATAAGACTCGGCAGTAAGAGGAAGAGCTGGTCCTATAATATCATTTGGGGGAGGGTCCCCAAAACGATGGCACTCCTTTTATTCTTAAGGAGTTACTAAACAGGAGTCTGGGGTGTTTAGAGGTCAACCTTTACCTGTGAGCTCAGGGTCATGGAGAGACAATTGTGGGGCCCGTGGACCTGGTTCTCACCTAGGAAGGAATTTCTTAGGTGCCAACCCAATGTTATTTCCCCCTCTGAATCCCTAAGGTCTTTTAGCTACTGTAAAAATGTTGGAATTGGAAGGACCCTCAGAATTTCTCTCTCCCAACCTCTTTTTGGACAGAGGAGGAGACTCAGAGATACTATGACAGGTCTTGGGCCACAAAAGACAGAGGCAGGCTTGGCTCTAGATCTTGTATCATAACTCCAAGTCTAGCCCTTTAGTCATTTATACTCAAGTACATAGTGGCTCCATTGTGTCCTTCAGCTGTTTCACAGGTGTAATGCCTTGCCCCTTGAATTAGAGTATGAGTTAATAGGTTCTTTGAACAAATGCATTATGGATGGCATTTTCTATCCCAGCCCTGGTGCAAAATGATGCCATAGACTTCAACCAATATGGGATAATTTATATTAAGTGCCCCTTTCTCGCTGCCCTGTACATTCCACTGCCACCCCCACTCCATCCTGTCATGAATGAATTATGGCAGAAAATTTGTAAATTAAAATTCTGAAGCCTATTTCATGTTTTTGGACTCCTTTTTGAGGCAATTGTTTCTAAAAATAGAATTGGGTTCACGTTTTGAATTTTCTCAATTGAGGGCCCTGCACAGCTGTGAACACTTCCTAAATAGATTAGCTATGATTTCAGGTTCCGGAAGATATTCAAAATGGAGTATAGAAAAAAATCTGGACAACAAAAATATAGTCTGAGGCTTAAAAGCACAGAGTCACCAATCGGGAAAGTATTTTAAAGTCCCTTTTTTATTCCCTCAGTGTTTTATCACCTGATTCCTTTTGGATGATTAAATAATGACAGCTTGGCGCAGCGTACTTAGGGCTGGAAAGGGCAGTGCTGATTAGGGAGGAAGAGAGACCACTACAATGTCTTGCAAGCAGGCACTGGTATTTGATGATCTGCTTTGGTGTGATGTGCCCACGTTTCCCACGCACACCCCTGTCCCCCCTTTGTTTCAATCCTCCTCTGGGTTGTGTGTCCAGGCCGGATCACGTGCCCACTTTAAAGCTGATACTGAATTCCTGGCCCTTCCTGGGAATGACCCAGGCTCTGTATGGTTGGTCACTGCTCTCCCCGTGCACAGGGAGGAACGGAGTCTGAGATTTCACAGCTCAGCAGGACACCTAATCTTGCTGTCCAGCAGAAAGTGACAACTTACTGTTTCTGATATTACTGTTCTACTTGTGATTAGCTCCGGGTTCCCAGATCCTAAAAATGATTTATTCACAATTTCCCTAAGCATCCAACAAGACATTGTGTTTACCACAGGTTTCCCCTGAATACACAATGAATAGAAATCTCTGGGCCTTTAAATTGCCACCTTTGTGTAGCCCCGGGCTTCCATATTGTGGGCCCCAATTGTGGAGACAGGACATGGGTCAGGGTGAGGGCTGGGATTTGGGGGAGTATGGGAGGTTATAAGACCTATTTGTTGACCCTTCAGTTCAATTTATCAAGTGACAGATTCATTTCATTTTTAGCATATCTGCTTCTCCATCAGCAAGATCTGAAATGCGCGCCAGTGACAAGGTTGTTACTGTAACAATAGTGAACATTTTGCCACTAAATACAAGTGAAACTGAGGATAGCGTGTCTATTTTAATTCAAAATGCAGCTAATGGCACAAACTTTACAAATTATGTTGGTAAGTATTAAATAACTTTACTCAAAGTTTAACTAAAGACCTACCTCCCCTTTTGTCAACCTTTCCATTCTATGTGAGAAGGGGGCAAGAACTGTCTAAGTGCCTTGACAGGTGCCTCCAAATTTCCTTTTAACCAATCCATTCTTCTGCCCTTTCCTCTCTCACTTGCCTTCTACTCCTTTCTACCCATCTCCAAGTCATCAAACTGACTTTTGTTCTTCTCTTGGAAGGAACTGACCACACAAATCATTGCTGGACAGGGACAGATAAAGAAAGGAAAAGCAAGAGGGCTTTACAGCAAGTTATAGTTTCACAGATGATTGTAGAAAGTTTCACTTATACTAATTCCCCCTTTAGGCTGATACACAGCCCACAGTGTAGCTGTAACAATTCGCATTTGCTGTGCTACAAACCACCCCAAAACTTAGTGGCCTAAACCAACCACCATTGATTTATTGCAACCCCATAATTCTATGGATTAGAATTTTGGCTGGGCTCACCGGATAGTCTGCTGATCTAGGCCAGGCTGACTGATCTCTGTGGGGCTCACTTAACCATCAGCCACTAACTGGGTCAGCTGAAGGCTGACTGCTCTCAGATGGCTCAGCTGGGCAGGTTGTCTCTGTTCCACGTGGTCTCTCAGCCTCCAGCAGCCCAGTCCAAAGGGTTCCAAGAGCAGTAGTTGTTTCTCAAGTCTCTGCTTACATCACATGTACGACTATCCTAATGGCTAAAGCAATTCACATGACCAAGCACAGCGTGGAAGGGGCCCCACCAAAGGACATGGATATGGAAAGGCGTGGATTTCAGAATCTCAGATATTCATTTGTTAAATCCCAAAACTTATTAAAAGGCAAAGCGTAACAACAATGGAGTGGGGTGCTTTGTTAATACTGTTTTGCTGAGTATATTTTGTAATTATTTGTGCTTCCCAGGGCAAAATCGGTGTAGTTATTATGGTTGTGAGGAGGCTGAAGATGGCTGTGTCAATAGTTTGGCATGCAAATGCAAACCCGAGTGGGAAAGACCTAACCCACAAGTTGCTTTCTGCTTTGGTAAGTATTCCACCTGCTTCTTAACGTTCTTCACAACGCCTATTTTCTCTCTTTTTGCATTTGCAAAATACAAACTTTACTGCTTGAGTATCTACATGTATTTCGGAGCCCGAGTGATGTGAATTTTGGCATTAGATGTACAGACCGGGACTGAGACACCTTGGCTAGGAGCTGGTGAGGCAGCTTACTGGGGCAGGGGGAGGGGGGGAGGCATGTCACGTGCAGAGGAGACGAGCACCTCACTGTACCTTGAACAAGAAATGCAAAAGAAATTATATTCTGTTACATATCACTTTGGGGTGGAAGAGATTGTTTCTTCACAAAGAAATCACTCTGTTTTGAAGCCTCCAGTCCAAAATGTCCTGACAACTGCGCCGGAGAGCACAGGCAGTGCTTGATAAAGAAGGAAGGTGGGGCCCCCGAGTGTGCGTGCGTGCCCGGCTACAAGGAAGATGATGATGGGAACTGCCAACCGTAAGAGAAATCACCATTTTTGTCTCTGCGTAGCTGGAGCTAGGCGAAAAGGGCAGAGCTTGCAGCACACATACGGGTTTACAGTCAGGAAGTTGGTAAGCTGGCGTGGGGCGGTAGGTAGACAGCATCATCATCATCATCATGAACAGTTTTCGAGCCTTCTCCACGTGCCAGGAACCACACTAGGTGACATCCATCACACAACAACACCGTCCGGAATGTATTAGTTCCCCCTTTTCAGGTGGGGAAACTGAAACCGAATGGCAATAACATGCTCCAGCTCGCAGGGCAGCAAGTAAGTGGCAGAGCCATGTGGCGTCACGGCCTGAGAGGGTCCCGTGCCTCTTGGGTTCAGCGTCGCCCGATTTGCTGACTCTTCCTGGAGCTCAGAGGGTGGAATGTTCCATCAGCAGTAAGTGAGCCCACATGGGATTGTACACCCCACTCATCCTCCCAGAGCCCCATGGAAGGTGCTCTCCTGGAAGAATGGGAGGGTAAGGAAGACAAGAGAAAGACGAGGAGCAGGGGAGGACAGGATGAAAGAAGGATGGAAAAGAAGAAATGGAGATCGGGGTGGGAACTCTGACATGCTCCCCACAGGGGCTTGTTAACATGGTTTCTTCTCACTCACTATATTTTAGGTGTGCATTTGGCTACAGTGGCCTCGACTGCCAAGACCGTGAGTATAGAAGTCTTGCTCTTATAAACAAGTTATCAGACATCTGAGAAATGAACATTGACCACATTCAAAATCCTATCCAGTCCCCCAAAGTCTCTGGCTTCCTTCGTAAAGAGGGAGAGATGATCTGCTCGCAGTTTGTGTTCTGGGACATGCCACCCATGCTCACCCTGAGGCTACGGGCAGCAGCAGGTCTGTCATAGAAAATGATAGAACTCGGTCCAAAGAGTGGCTGGAGCCTCTGGACTTGCTCCAGACTAGAGAAGAGCGTCCTAGCATTATGTTGATTTCCTACACTAGCTTAAACATGTATCATCTGCTACTAGAAACGATAAATGACCAAGACATTAAAAAAATTTTGGTGGTTGTGGGAAAGCAGACGTAAAAAACAGACATTTAAATACTCAAATCTTTTCGTCTCAGAGCTATTTACTGGTTTGGGATGCGCTACTGCAAATCCAGTTGTTTCTTTCCCTCCCATGCCCCACCTCCACCAGACTGAGATAATACTAACTTTAACTTTTAAATTATTTTCTATTTTAAAATTTACATAATGAAGTAAATAAAGATTAATGATCCAAGTCGAAGGGAATACTGCTGTCAGCCTTCCCTCCAGCCACTAAGACAGTGAGCAATGAGAGATGCCTTCCATTTCTAATGTATTTTTTTGCAAGGAAGGATTTGCTAGGTCTTTTCTTCCTTCTGGGCTTTCAGTTTCCATACCTGTAAGATGAGAGGTTTGAACCAGTGAACTTTGAGGTCTTTCCCAGATGTCACAGTCTATGGCCCTGGGAATCGAGGTTGGAGGTGGCCTTTGTGGGAGTCACACAGCGGGGAGAAACAAAAAGGTGTAGAGCAGTGTTGTCTGACAGAAACATCATGTGAGCTATCTATCTCATTTGAAATTTTTAAAATTCCAAATAAATTTTTAAAAGTAAAAAGATACAAGTGAAGTCAATTTTAAGAACATGTTATATTTAACCCAATATATCCAAAATATCATTTCAACATGTAATCAATATAAGAATTATTAATAAATTATTTCACTTTTATTTTTTTAGAATCCGGTGTGTATGTTACACTTACCGGCCATCTCACAGCCACATTTCAAGAGTCAATAGCCCTAGTCAGAGCAGAGGAGGAGAATGGGTGATAGTGAACTGCAGACTCTTCCCTCTCTGATGTCATCAAGCTGTCACCTGGCTCCTCTATTAGTGACCAGTTTAACTCCAACCCATTCCCCTAGCTTCTCAGTAAGGGAGCTGTGGACCTGGGTTGTGGGCCCACTGCCCACAAAGCTCAGGAAGACCCTGCTTCTATCGGCCTCCTCCCTGGGATTTGCGGTCATTAATCTGGCAAGCCTGCCCCTTCTGATGGTGTTCTGAAAACACAGTCTAGGAGTGTGGGGACAGGGTGCTAAAGGAAATAAGCCACCTACCCCATCTGGCCCTGGAGGGCCGGAGACCAGAGCCTGAGCATCCTCACAGTGGGGAATCCCTGGGCAGTGGACCGCTGGGCGCTGAGCCATCTCTCCTCTTTTCTTTTCCCTTCCAGAATTTCAGCTGATCCTCACCATAGTGGGTGTCATCGCTGGCGTCCTTATACTCAGCATGGTGATTGCCTTGATCATCACAGCAACGTACGTATGGGGTGCAAGTGTCCCTGTCCCGGTTCCAGCATGACACTCTAGCTTCCAAACACCCCCAGCTCTTCCTGGGCAAGAGAAGGGAAATAAGGGGAAGCTTTTCTTACCTTAATTTTCTTCCGATTATATAAACGGTACATGATCACGGAAGAAAATAGAGAAAATAGAGAAATGTGTAGAGGAAGAGAATAAAAAATCACCCATAAAACCCACCCCCCTGAGGAAACTACCATTTTGACATATATCCTTCCAGATTTTTTCCTATCTTTTAAAATATTATATATGTAATTTTGTATCCTTTGTGCTTTTAAAATTGTTTGTTGAGGTTTATTTTTGCTTAACACTATAAAATGACATAGCAACCATTTCCTTACATTATTAAAAACTCTTTGCTAACAGTGTTTAACTCCACTGATGTCAGAAACAAGTTTTATCAGGTCACTCCCCTGCTTGCTCAGGATCCTGCTGCAATGGGTCTAAAATCAACCTCAGCAGATTCCCCTGGGTGGAAATGTTACCTCTTAAAGTTGCCCTAAGGTCTCTTCCCTGAAGGGAGGGGGAATAGTGCCCATTCATTTTTGCAACACATACTTAGGAAAGCTAATGTTCCCCCATTAATAAGGAGGTGAATGCTATTATCTCTTTTTTATTCAAAATGGGCCACATGGGGATCCACTTTCATAAAAAGCAAGCTAGTTTTTTCTAACATTTAGCTCATATATTACATTTTAATAAAATAGGTATTTGTCCACTATAATATTAACACTTTCCAGAGAATTATAAGGAAGCAAAGCTAAGAACTGGAATATGAGTGTCTGCATCACTCCAAGTTCCCTTTTTCAGGAAAAGAGTCAGAACATTCCGGGATCAAGACTGTCTCCTCTTTCTTAGGGAGACTAGCTGACTGTCCTGGGTCTTCAGGGCTCTCAAGAGTTGTTATAGAACCTTGAGACCCTGGGACAGCCATGTGTCCAGGTCCTCCTTCCTGCTGCACAGCCGGGTTTGCTCTTAGCCCAGCTACAGATTTGGGATTCTTGGGAACACACCAAGAATTGTAATTTTCTTGCCCAATTCAAAGGGAAGGAAAGCCTCTCCTCAGTCACCTTGGACAAGGGTGTGGGCCCTCAGAGTCCCAGGGAGAGTGACATTTCTGCTGTGCCTGAGGCACAGGTGACTCACCCTGGGAGTGCCCTGTGGGCATCACAGAAGCAGCCAGCCCCACTTCCCTCCCAAGCCCAGGGTACTACAGGGGCAGGCCCAGGCCTGTGGGCCAGCAAGGAAGGAGGGTCCCCACCAGGGTTACTTGGGGGCAGATGCCTCCCTCACCTGCAAGTACTTCCACTTGGCTTTGAATATTTACACTTGAGATCCTTGAGGGCCACAGAGGTCCCAGGAAGCCCTATTTCTCCTTTCAAGACCTTTATACCTTGAACTCATTTTACTCACTGGGGTGATTCTGTAGAGGCTGACTTTGATGGAATGAAAAACTGTATCACAAGTCATCTTCTCTCTTTGATTTCTATTATCATTTCCATATAAATTCAAAAGCACACTTAGTAACATTATTAGCAAAATATGAATAAGTCCAGTGGATTTAGATGGTCATGCTGGAGCAGCATTAACATCCTGCTTTTGTCATTATGTGGAGCTCATGAGGGGACTGTCCTTCAACTCAAGGAATCGGCACTGAATAAAATAACAAAGTATTAGGGGTAGTGGGATATCAGGCCTGCGACTTATTCTTAATTGGTTCAGAAATGTTAATATTTCAAAATTTCAAAACATTTTTTGAAAAAAGAACCTTACCATTTACTTCAAGGAACTTTCTGCCTAATTCCTGTTACTGATTGCAGATCAAAGAACAAAAAGAATAATATTGAAGAACAGAACTTGATTGAGGAAGACTTTCAAAATCTGCAACTGCGGCCTTCAGGTTTCAGCAATCTAGGAGCAGAGGGGAGCCTCTTCCCTAAAATCAGGGTAGCAACCTCCAAAGACAGCCTGACACCAAATCCTTACGTCCAGTCAAATATACCCCACCCTGACTATTAGGTGAGTCTCTGGGTTTTGTGTGTGGCTTTGCAGGGTGAAATGCCTCAGGGCAGAACAGGGACCTGGCAGTTGTATCTTCAATCCAGGAGCCCCGAAGACTTTTTTCTTTCTCTTCTTTTTCTTTTCTTTTCCTTTCTTTTCTATTCTTTTCTCCCCCTTTCAAATGAAAGAGAAAGAGCAAGGAGGAAGCTCCCTGCTATTGTAAATAGCCATGGCTTGGTCCCCATCCATGGATGTGACATTTAAACACATCACTTAATTTCTCTGGTATTCTATTTTCTCATCTGTTGAAAAAAAAAAAGCAGCTTAAGTTAGATGCCCTTACGTTCCCTTTAGATTATCGACTTCTATGGCTATGATTCCAGGAATTGTGGTGACACTTCCCAGGCTGTTTAAGGACGAAAGTCCTGGGCAGGCCCAGGGCAGGACGTTAAATATAAACACAGTTCTGTAGGGGCCTTTTCCAGCAGGCTGTGTGAAGGCAGCTCTCTCCTCTCCTCCTCCCAGGTTTCAAGGCAACTTGATCCATTGCTAAAGACACAAGGCGAGTTAGGCCTTATTTCCCTTGGGATAACTTTTGTGGAGAATAGCTTGTCCCCACTGGGTTTGTATGGGATAGTCATAGCTGGCACTGCTTAGTGTGATTTGAATGAAATGTTGAAAGGAGCAAGCCTGTAAGCGACTCTTGGGAGAAGAGTGACAAGGCAACTGAGATGGAAAGAAGGAAGACGGTGAAGGAAGATGAGGAAGGGGCCAGGAAGAGACAGGGAACAACAGAGAGGTGAGGAGAGAAATGATAGGAAGAACAGAGTTGAAAGCTGAAGACAAATAATGTTAATTAATAATGATTATTTATGAATCTAAATTTTTTCATATACTTCTGTTGGAGTATTTCTTTTCTAAGAGTTTTATCTCTCACTTCCTTTCTGTCTAGAATGGTAAAAATGTGGACCCCTCTATGGCCCCCAACCTAACCTACAAGCTGTTATTTTGAGTGTTCAGAAAGACTGATGGAGAAGTGAGCCCCAGTGACGGTGTGGCCTCCGACATCTGCAGCCTCTCCAAATGGAAGTTGTGCATGTTTGCAATGAATATAGCTTGCTTGCTCAATAAGTATCTGTGAACCTGAATGCACACAGATGCTAGCAGCACTTGTAAGATAGCAGATTTTATCCAATCAGTACAAAGTACTAAGACCATGGTTGGGCTTTTTTTCCTGGTGAAGCAACAATAACCACTTCTGATCTAGAGAGAAGTTCCCCAGCACATTCACTCTTGGGAGATTATTGCTCTTGAGGGGATAGGCTACAGATGAGTGACATAATTCTCTGGGGAGACTCTTATACATCAGCTGCGGAGGTCGCAGGGGATGAAAAGAGATACCATCTTTTCAGGTTCTGGGGTTCACTCTCTGACGAGTCAAAACAGGAATAGTACTTGTGTCCCTCCAAATGCAGCTACCCTTGAACTGCCAGTTGCTTATGACCTGCCCGCACCCCAAGAAGACAGGAAAGAGCCATGTCCCTCAGCTTTTCCAGGAAGGGTGACAGGGAACCCAGGAACTTTTTGATGTTAATTAGAAGACCTAGATGTTAATGAGAAGACCATGGGGTGCATTCTAGAGTTTTCAAAGTGCTAGTAGGTAGAAGGAGCAGAGAGAAAAAAACATGAGCAGAGAGAAAAAAAGAAGAAGAGAAGCAAAGGCAGCTGGGCTGGGAGGATATAAAGGAAGAGGCACCTGGGATCCACCTCCTTCCTTGGCTCTCCCTCCTTGATGAGCAAATGGGCACTTCGTCTAATCCATGCCCTTCCCAAGACTGAGTGTAGGAACAGGTGTAGAAACAAAAGCCCCAGAAGTAAGAGCTTTAGGTTACTTTGGAATTGCAGACATCCTGTTTGGTTGAGGGTGAAAGCGGGAGCTGGTGCTCAGGAGTCTGTATGTCCAGCTTTGTGATGCAGATTCCAGAGGTACTACACTGGGGCCTCAGCCTTCCCTGGTGACAGAGGCTAAGCTGTGGCTGCAACCCACAAACACACACACAAGAATGGGGCAACCACATACAGCAAAGGCTTTTTTTTTTTTTAATGTTAATAGTGTCCTTGTTTGCGTCTAATATCTGGTCCTCTTGGAAGTTATTTTATTATTATTATTATTTGTTCTTGACTGTTAATTGTGAAAGGTAATGCAAATAAAGTGTCTTTAGTTGATGGTGTCCTTTCCTGTAGTTGGGGCTTTGGGTGATGCACACAGCAGCGAGTTTTAAATAGCAAACATGACACATGGTGAACCAGAGTGACTGACATCTGCTGTCCTCATTAGGGGCTAGTGGATTACCCAAGATAACATGTTAACACAGGGTAGAGATTTTAGGCTGCTTTCCCAACGCACATCCCACTCCCCCTCCCCGCCATGAAGGAACAGCCAAGCACCTGATCCAACTCCCAGCTCCAGGGGTTGGCCCTGGTTAGCTCAGCCAATCAGTGGGATTCTGTTCCTCCTTGCCACAGTAATTGACCTAAGAGTAAGCACAGTGGCACAAGTGGATACAATTAGAATACAACCTAAACTTTGGTAGGTAGCTTGGAGGAAGAGAAACACTTTCTTCTTCTAGAAAGTGGGCTTGAGGATATGAGGCCTTGAATGGCTTCAGTTTTGTTGAGGACACAGCCGACACATAGAGCAGGGAAGAGCAGAGGGAACTGTGAGAAATGGAGTTGGCGACTTGATCAAACCACACCTGAAACCTCTGGATTTTCCTCTGCTAAAGGCCAGTTTGGGTAGTTTTTTGGTTATCTGCAGCTGAAAACAGCCTCACTGATACCACTTATATTTACTCTTGTGTTCTCATGGCTAGGTGGTGAATGAAATAAATATTCTTATGAGCTATTAATGCCCACAGGAAAAACATGAGCCATCAACCAATCAGTTAACAGCAGCAGAGTTAATGCAGACAGAACTTAAAATTGGGTGACCACTGTAACATGTCATCACAGACTATTTCTGACGTGCATTACCCCTTTTACATTTAAAGGTGGTTCTGGATTCAGTACTAGCAGTAGGCTATATGAACCTCATTTCTAAAGAGTCCCTCCTCCCTGGTGGCCCTTAGAACCAAAGCATGCCAACTCCTGTCCCTTCTCAGAGATCCTGAGCTATACAAATTCTGGGCTTTGTAGGCCATTCTTCAGAGATGTTCGTTCCTATTGTTTGAATAAAAATAATGTTCTAAGCTGGATGTGGTGGCTCATGCCTATAATTGCAGCACTTTGGGAGGCTGAGGCAGGAGAACTGCTTGAGGCCATGAGTTTGAGACCAGCCTGGGCAACATAGTGAGATCCCTATCTTTACAAAAAATTTTTAAAAATTAGCTGGAGGTGGTGGTGTGTGCCTATAGTGCTAGCTACTTGAGAGGCTGAGGCAGGAGGATCACTTGAGCCCAGGAGTTCTGCAGTGAGGCTGCAGTGAGCTATGTTCACACTACTGCACTCCTGCCTAGGCAACAGAGACCCTATGTCTGAAAAAAAAATTTTTTTTAATGTTTTAAACATGTGTATATATAATATTTATGAAAATAGCATTGGCATTCAAAGTTGCTTTTGATTCTTGTGTAATACAGCCCATAATTCATTTCTGCTCACTGGGACCTTTGAGAAGGTTTTCTATTCACAATAATGAGCCAACTCCTTGTAGAATATCCGCCCTGGTCTTCCAGCAACTGCTGCCAACTGCTCTGGCTTTGCCTCATGCCCCTCTCCCCACAGTGCACTAACACTTTGGCCATCCCTGCTGTTCCCTAAACCAGGTGTCCCCAACTTATGGTGAGTTATATAATTATTTCATTATATATTATAATGTAATAATAGAAATACAGTGTACAATACATGTAATGCACTTGAATCATCCTGAAACCATCCCCCCTACCCCAGTCCGTGGAAAAACTGTCTTCCATGAAAACGGTCCCTGGTGTCAAAAAGGTTGGGAACAGCTGCCCTAAACATACCACCTCTTTAAACCTCCATTCCTTTGCTCATGCTTTCCCCCCACTTGAAATGCCTCTTTCCTTCAACTGTTTATTGTCTTAGTCTGTTTGAGCTACTATAACAAGCTACCATAGACTGAGTGGCTTACAAACAACAGAAATTTATTTGGAGGCTGAGAAGTCCAAGATCAAGTTCTAGATGTTTGGAAAGGGCCTGCTTCCTCATAGCTGGCTGTCTTCTCACTGTAACCTCTCATGTTGGAAGGAGGAGCAAGGGAGCTCTCTGGCCTCCCACAAGGGCATTAATCTCATTCATGAGGGCTCTACCCTCATGACCTAATCACCTCCCAAAGGCCTTACCTCCTAATAGCATAATGCTGAGTGTTAGGATTTAATATGTGAATTTGGGGGGACTCAAAAGATTTAGACCATAGCACTAATAAATTCCTTCATCTGTCTAAATTAGCTAAACCATCCTCTCCTCTGGCCAGCTTTTCCTAATCCTTCCCTTCTCCCCCTGCACTCTCAAGAAGTATGGCCTCCTTCACGTCCCAACTGGGTCCTGTAACCAGTCCCCCCAGGGAAGAGGTTATGGATGGTGAGTCTCTGTTTCCTTCTCACCCAGAACAATGCCTGGCATAGGATATGAATTAAATAATTGTGAAACAGGAGCATAAAACAGGACTCTTCAAGCTCCACCTGGAAGGATATGTTTATTGTCTTGATTGTGGCAATGGTTTCACGAGTATATATATATATGTCAAAACTTGTCAAATTGTACACTCTATACATGTACCGTTTACCATACGTCAATTATACCTCAACAAAGCTGGGTTGTGTTTTTTTTTAAGTGGGGAGTGGACTATCACACAGGGGCATGTCCAACCTTGGGGGCGGCATCCTCTAGGCACAGCCCTAAGACAAGACAGGACAGGACAGGGAAACGTGCTGTCATTCTGCCGGGTCTCCGCACTAGGCTGAAGGTTCTCTGAGGTGGGCTTTGGGCGCAACCGCTGGGGTTGGGAGTCTCAGCTGCGCGCCGGACACTTCCTGGGTCTACGGCAGGGCCAGCCCGAGCCCCGAGCCCCACTGTTCACGCTCCCAGGGGATCCCACCAGGCCGAGGACTTTGAGAACCGCGGATTCAGATCGCCGGCCGGCCCGGCCCAGCCCCACGTCGCGTCACTTTCCACTCCACGCCCTGAAGGAGTCTAGAACCAACAGTCCATTATGGACAAGAAGCCTCAGCAGTGGGCTCCAGCCTCTTTATGGAGAAGGTGACCAGGCATCCAGATGGCATCAATACCAAAACCGCTCGAGACTTCCCTCTTTGGGGCGGTTTTGCCCGGAACCACCGTCGCCCTCTGGCCTTGTCCCAGCTGCTGGGCCAACTCCGCGGCCGGCAGGTGGCGCTGTCTCCTACCGCGCGCGGAAACTCACTTCCGGTGGGCCCCGCTCTTTTCACAGGATTGCTTGAAATTGTTAACGTTTAATGCACCAATTCTAAATAGTGTTTCCCTTGACTTTTCTCTGGTGTCTTCATTCCTTGCTCTTGTGCCAGGGAAACGTGAATGTTACTCAGCTCCTGAGTGGAAATATTTGCATCATCTTTTTACTGGATGGTTGGAGATCATACATTGTCCCCTTTATTGGTCTTGTACTACATAAGCGTAAGTAATGTTAATGTCATATTATTAATGGTGCATAAAATCTGCTACAAATGTTCAGATAATCAACGTTTTGTTTAGTGGTGATTTTACAAAATTAAAAAGGACTTAAATCCATTTTCATTGAAAAATTCTTCAGTTAACGTAATAAAACCAAAATGTCACCAATGGGGGGTTTCTGTCTTTGATCAACTTTTATGATATAAACCAGGTCTGCCTGGGTTCCCTAAGGGTTTGGTTTGTCATTAATTGACAATCCACAGTGCAAAAAGCAGGGTTAGAGAATGAGGTTGAGGAGAGCCCTAAGGGGACATGTGGGGTGGGCAGTGTTCTCTTCAATCTCTGGGCTGTGAAAGTGGTTCTTTTATTTAAAGACAGAAGCCTGGGGCAAACCATCAAAGGCCTCATAATTTCTGCACTGGTAACATGTTTTCTGAGCCCACAATCAGACATGTAGACCAACAGGGAATTCTCTCTTGCTTCCAGATGGAAAGAACCAATTTGAAAAACAACAACAATAATAGTTAATATATTATGGAGCACTCACTATATGCTAGGCATAGTTCTTGTGTCTCACATATATTAACCCCTTTAATTCTCATGATAATTATGAAGTAGGTACTATTTTGATCCCTGCTCAATATTTGGGAAAATAGAAGTAAGTAACTTGTCCAAAGTCACATAACTAGTAAGTGGTATGGCCAGGATTTGAGCCTAGACACTCCAACTCCAGAGCCTACCTTTCTGTCATTCAATGCCAAAATATTAACATAGGTAGGATATTTCAATGGTCAGTGGGGACAATGAGACATATATTTGAAACCAAGAATGTCCTGTGTTTATTAGGCCTTGGTGCCAGATGCAAATAGAATGGTGGCTGAAACACAGGCTTCCTCTTGCTAGAGCTCACAGGTTAATGGCCTGTACCACCAAAAAGGAAAAATTCTTTACTTACTATACTTGTTCAAATCTCATCAACTATCCTCTCCAGTAAAATAACTCATCTAAAATCATCTGTAACATGTCTGTTGCTTCTCACTTATTATTCAAAGTCTGGCTTCCCAATCTGTTTGCGGGGCCCTATAGCCCTCTAGTTTCTTTTTTCTCTCTCTCTCCCTCTCTCTCCCTCTGCCTGCCCCTCTCTCTCACTCTCTCATGTGAAGGCTCTCCATTTTCTAATCAGCTATGGTGTCTGCCCTTATGTGGTGGTGGGAGGAATCTTTGATGCTTCTTTCCTTTTGGTGGAAACAAGTTAAAGATGAATCGCCCATTGGACCAACATCGAATGCCCCAGACATGCTTTGCACTTCCTTTATCTGCCAGTCCCTCCCTGGAACCTGAGCTTCCTGAGGGAAAACCCTCTGTCTTATTTCTCTGCTACATACAGAACCCTCAACAAAATTTACTGAATGCAAGAATGAAGGCCCTACTCCAATGAAGTGACATTCTAGAGCAAAGAATGGCCTGGAATATGGAAGCAGATCAATAGAATTAGGGCTAAGAGAAAGCATCTCTTAGCTCCAAGTAACGGTCTTTACCATTTTCTTAATGAAGAGGATT